GAACCCCCCTCACCCCATTCATCACCATTACTCATCGCCATCCTCGTGCAAATAACGGCCCGCCGAGCAATCACCGGGAGAAACTCGCTAAATTCGGTCGCGCAAGGGTCCCGGTCCGAGGCCGGCGGGGCCGAGGCAGAGGAGCGGGAGGGAGGGCAGGCACCCGAGGGAGAGGAGGGAGAGAGGAAGGAAGGAACGAATTTCACAGCGCGGGGCGCGCTTCCGCAAAGGGAAAGGAGGCGGAGGTGGTGGGGGGAGAGGGGAGGGTGCTATGGGTCTGGGGCTGTTCGTATCACCCACCACGCTGCTGGGACCACCCCGCGGGAAGGGCAAGGGCAGGGAGAGGCCAAACGGTTTACATCCCTTTGGCGCCCGAGCAACACGAGCCGTTGGCGGCCGGGGTGATGGGCGGGGGATGGGGCAATCGTGTGAGTCGCAAAGGCCCACTCACTCTTGCGCTACAGCAAAAAATAGAATGGAAAAAGAATCAAAATAAATGAAAATAAAAAGTTTGGACTAGTAAATGATTGTGAAAGAAGATAAGATACAAATTAATTAAGATTAAGAACGGAGCCTTGTTTTAATTTATTGCCTCCCGAACAAAATACTATACTTTTTATGGGCTGAAGTAGACTTGTGCTAAATTTTCCCTTTCTTACTGAAATGGCAAAACTGAAATTAATGATCATTGTTTTTTTAGCCCTTTTCCCCTTTTGCCCTACCCTATTAAATTTGTGAAAGGACGGCGCATCCGCTGTTCGCGGAGAGTGGGGCAGCCGCAGCCGCAGCCGCAGCCGCAGCCGCAGCCGCAGCCGCAACCGCCACCGCGCCGGCGCACGTGAGCGCCCGACGGCCAAGGCATAGGCAACCCTCCAGCATTGGCGCGCGGCGGGCGGGCCTACCCACCAGGCGCTCCAGCAAGCGCTCCAGCGAACGCTCCAGCCGAAGCTCCAGCCAGCTAGACCAAATGTAGGCAAATAAGGCGAAGGCGGGGCGGAGGGTTCAATTAGTCGGGAAAGTTAAAAAGTATGACAATAAAATTTACATTGATTTGTTTTTCCCAGTCAGGAAGTCGCGGGATGACTTTGCAGCTACAACGAGAGGGCGGAAGGCAGGGACCTCGGCAGGGACAGGACGTAATATATTTCGCGGGGCCTCGAGGCAACCCCACCACCACTGCCGCAGCTCTTTTGCTTTACCACCGCCGCTTAATTCTGCTCAGCGGCTGCAAGAACGCGCACGACGACGCCCCGCAAGGTGACACGGCGGCCTGAGCACTTGCAACGGCCTCGGACGCAAAATCTTTGCGCCGTTTCTCCCGCGTGAATATGCATGAGCGCGGCTTGGGGTAGAAAAGGGCCGGCCACTCGCCGCCACGACGACGAGGACGACGAGGACGGAGGGCGGCCCTTTCTGGTCCCTTGCCTTCCGGACCACCGCACCGCACTCTGGTGGGAGGAGGCGGGGGGAGGGAGGAGGCCCAGAGAAGGATTACCTGTGAAGTCGCCAACCCGTCGGCCCGAAGGGCTGGGCTGGGCCGCTGGGCCGGGCCTGGGCAGGTGGTGGTGCAGGTGTTGACGGCGCCCGCCTGACACGTTAAGGGCCCCCTCTGCGGTAATCGTCAGGGGCCGGGCGCCACTTCACATGTGACCGGGAGGGGCGGCATTGCGTCACGCTCGAGTGGGGGGCGAGTAGGGGGTAAGGAGGGGGCGAGGGGGAGCTGCGAGTGGCGCGGGCCGGCGCAGCGGTGCCCCGGTGTAAAGTAGACCTTGACCCCCTCCCCCCCTCCACTCGCCCCCCTCCCTCTCTCTCTGTCTCTCTTCTCCAGCCACCCCACACTCCCCCTTCCTCTCCAACGATTGAAATAGAAAATAGAAAGGGGGGCTTGGAGAGAGCTGTTTGCTCAGGACCATAGGGCCTATAGAAGCGTCCGGGCCCGCCTCTTGAAAAGAAAAGCACGGGGGAGAGAGAGAGACAGAGAGAAGAAAAGGGATGGGGTTAAAGAGCAGGGAAAGAAGAGAAAGTGGAGTAGCTGGGCGAGATAGGCAGAGGATGGGCGAGGGTGAAAGAAGAGAGGAGAGAGGAAGACATAGTGAAGGAGAGAGGGTGAGTGATAGAGAATAGAAGAAGAGACACACAAAGAAAGCAGAGGTGTATATGGCTGCTCTCCACAGCAGCATGGTCGCAGGTCGCGCTTCAAAGGTGAGGGGTGTTCAGTCTCAGGAGCGCGCCCCGCCCCGTCCCGCCCCGCCCCGCCCCGGGCCATCCCCGCAGCCACACCATTATCATGGTGGGTTAATATCATGAACAGGCGGCGTGAAAGTAGGGGGCATAAGAAAGAGGAAGAAGGGGGGGGGGTCTTTCCCAGCAAGGCGGAAGGAAAATGAATTTATTAAGATCGGGGATAGCGAGCCGAGCTTATAGAGGAGGGGTG